GGACAGCTTTTCTGTTCTGATAACCGCGATGTGATTCGAACTTCCTCTCATGGTTGTTATAAGGTGAAAGAATTTCGTACCCTTGTCTCCGGTCTTGAACTATTTAAGTATTTTTTGTAACCATTTGCGTTCTTCTCTTCTATACCTTGCCCAAAGCTCCCCTTTAAGACGATTTATCTTTTACATAATCTCATTGTCATTACCTATCCCTATTAGCGACTGTTCCAGAAAATCGATCTTTGCTTCTAGTTACTTCGTTGACTCCGAAGCTTTAGATTTTTTTTCCTGTGCCCACTATTTTGATGTATTCTGTATCTTGCTCAAGAATGTCCTGAAGCCTTTGTTCTTGCATCTGGCTGCCACTCTTTTAACTAAATCTAGAAACCCTTGATCCTCAGACCAATATGAGAACCATTTAAAGTACATGTTAATAGTCTTTCTTTTAGAGCTTTAAGGATAACCGAGTTGTGGTCGAACAAGCTTCTTGGAATAGTAACTTGGGTGAGATTGGGGAACCTTAGCAGAATCTCTGGCGATATTAGATACCTGTCCAACCTACTTGTTGGTGTTTCGCCCTCCTCTTAACCAAGTGAACTTACTACCCGAGAGTGGTAGGTCAATTAGTTCTCTTCTCTAGATGAATTCGTTGAATGTGGTCATCGAGGTACCATTTGAAGCTGCTCCAGTTCTTTCCTCCTTAATGTTAATATTGTTAAAATCACCCCCTACTATTGCAGGGCAACCCACAGCTTCTAAATACTAGTTGAGTTTATCGAAAAGCTCTTTCTGTCCCTTCCCACGTTCGGCTCATAGATGTTGACTACAACCACTTTGATGTTTCTTGGATATAACTGCCCTTCAAGTGCAATGTATCTGGGGTTAATGATTTTCTTTTCCACAGTGAAACATTTTGTGTCCCACAATGTTATCAGCCCTCCCGAGGCTCCCTATGAAGGCACCAACACAAAATCATCAAACTTTATTCCTTTTAATCTTTTCAATATCGTCGGTTTTACTAACACCATTCTTGTTTCTTGGATGAACACCAAACTAGCCTTCTGTTTTCGATGACCTTTTTAATTGACCTCAACTTCTCAAATATTCCCATGCCTCTGACATTCCATGATAAAAAAAACAAAACTTCTTAAGGATAATGAACACACAGAGAGAACCACTTATGCACCTGATAGGTTATTGGTTCAATTCTGCTTCCAATGCACGAAAACCCCTCTCCACTTCTGAATCTAAAGCATAGAATTCAACACTAATTGCTTTGCAAATAGCTCTTGTTGCAACTGGTTCTAAGCTTTCCTCAATATGATAATACGAATTCATGTGACCTGGTGAATTCCTACTCAGACCAACACCATTAGCCTCCAACAGAGTTGGCTCTTACTATCTCGATTGTTTTTTGTTCTTTTTTTGTTTGCCTTCTGCTTTCGCTTACTACTCTTAAAATTTGCCCTTCTCCCTAATTTTCCACCACCGATCAACCTTGGGTAATGGTCGATGTGCTTAGAACAGGCTCTACTTGTTTGATATGACTTATGGATAGTTGCATCGTATTCAATTTCTGTAACACCCTAATCCGATCCGACCCGAGGTCTGGATGATTAGAATGTCACACAGAACCATTAAGTGACTAACCATTTTTTTAAAAACATTAGTTGGTTTTAACGTTCAAACAAAATATATTACATTTACAAAATATAAGTAGTTAAAATATGGGGTGCTCCCAACAATAGTCTCCATAATACATGAGTACAAAATAGAGTTATGACTCAATTAAATAACTTGAATCTATGACAATACATGCCCTCTACAATACTCGAGACGTACTCTGATAGGATGATCGAGTATGGAAATTTGAGATCTGGCAATGAGCTCCTCGATTGGTACCTAAGAACTTGAGCACAAAAAAACATTCCATATGCTTAGCTTTACAAGCTCAGTGTCACACAAATAACTAAACTATACTATATGCATCCAACAAGCAAGCATGCTACAAGTATGGTTATGAACGTTTGTATCCACTAACACACAACAAGAGTAAGCATCATGGTGTAGCTTTGGGTCACTTAGCATCACAGAACTCACACTCATCTTTACTTACTAAGAACCTTAGGTAAGACATGGATCACATAGCATCAGCGCCTCCATATACGTCGGGTTAGGTCCGGGTCACAACATCAACACCTTACCCGGCTAGTCTACTCCTCTAGAGTATTCGGGACATGTAAGGGTCACTTAGCATCGGTACAACATCCAACTAGCATTTTAACTGCCCAAGCACAAGATTAGATATATCCGGATAATCCTCAATCTACCATACAATCGTCATACAAGTGACTTGGGTGTCCTCGTCATTTCCCGAGCATCATACAAAGGCATAAGTTTTATGGAATCCTACATCATTAAGATCTTATTTTATAACATAATTAATTAAGGTGTTCCACTTGTGACTTTATTTGAAGGTTCCTCGCACTAAACCACTGGGTTTCGCCCATCTAGCCTCAGCTAGGCTTATGGCCTAAACAATCACGATGGTATCGATACTGCTCTTTGGGTATTGGTACTCCCCTCTTGTGGTATTAATACTTCCCCGAGTACCGGCACAAAAAATGCATTCCATGTTTTAGAAAAATATCTTTGAGAGTATCGATACTGCCCCACTAGGGTATTGATACTCCCTTGACTATCAGTACAAAAATTACTTTTGATGTTTTGAAAAATACCTCCATATCCCTATGGGAAATATCGATACTCAAGCCTTGGTATGGATACTCCTATGATTACTGATACCAAAATTGACTTCGATGTTTCCACTCAAGCCTTGAGGATTGATACTAGGCTCCGAGTATCGATACTACTTGAGTAGTACCAATACAAATTGATGGGGTATCGATACTCTCCTCACGAACCCTTATAATTTTGCCCTTACACAACCGGTAATATCGGTATTGTTCTTAAATTATCGATACCCACATCCTAAAACACTCTGTTCCACTCATCTAAAATCCTACAATTCGTTTATAAAGTGCCCCCAAGGCCCCCATTTGGTGTTTAAAGCTTATTTAATACTTAAGGAACATAAAAGGTCCTTACTTTACACATGAATAACAACAAATCTCGTTTTCTTGCATTTAGAACCCCAAGTGTACACAAATAGTTCATACACCCAAGCATGCATAAAAACTACACATGATGACCTACAAGTAGTAAAGAAAGGTTAAAAGTTTGTTACCTTACACCTAAAGTCTGATGAAACAACTCAAGGCTCAACCAAACACTCTTTCTTTTTTCCCTTCACTTTAGAGTTTTGTCTAAATTCTCTCACTAACCCAGAGTAAATGAAATGATCACTAACTTGCTTGAAGGCTTATAAAGATTAAAAACATGATTATAAACTCTTTGGGGTGGATTTGGAATAGTCCTAGAATCCAAACCTCTTAAAACCCCCACATGGTCACCATGAACAAACTATGAGAAGCTAGGTTTGAATTGAAGCTCTAGATATAGAGTGTACCTTTCTTACCTTAAGGAATTTGAACTAGGGCTGGAGAACAAGAAAACTTTCACCTTTAGGGTTCTTACTAAACCAAAATAAATAGAGGAAAAGGAGGAAAAACAAGACAAGGAATGAGGTGAAGAAAAAGAGAGACATGCACGTTTACAATATCTATTTAATGAGAAATTAGCCTAAATTGGCTTATGGGTAAATTGTTCTTTTAGTTCTACATTCCCTAACCTTATTCCTAAACGCCTTTTTTTAAACCATAATGGGATCAATCAAGACCAATCCACTACATTAATGGGTTTATGCTTCTATCGTTCTAAATAGATCTTTATAACTCTTTGTCTGGTTTGCCTGAAACTTCTAACTCAGAATTCATGGGGTTACAACTTTCCCCTCTAAGAAGAAATTTCATCCTCAAAATTTAGCTAAGTAGAAAGGGTGCGGACAATGAAGTCGCATATCCTTCTCGGTCTCCAAAGTTGATTCATCAGTCTCATGGTTCCTCCACAAGACCTTCACTAATGGTATCTACTTGTTTCTCAACCCCTTGACCTCTCAGTCAAAAATCCTTATCTGCTCTTCTTCATAGGTCATATATTGACTCACTTCGATTTTATCTAGAGAAATGATATGGGAAAGGTTAGAACGATACCTCTTAAGAATTGATACATGAAACACGTTATGAATGCGTTCAGTCTCTGGAGGTAAGGCTAATCAGTAGGATACGGGTCTGATTCTCTCAAGAATCTCATAAGGTCAAATGAAGTGCAGAGATAACTTGTCTTTGCGTCCAAACCAAGGCACTCTCTTACAAGGTGATACCTTTAGGAAAATATTATTGCCCACTTCAAACTTTTACTTTACGCTTCAAATTTGCATATGATCTCTGGTGGTCAAAAGCTTCTTTTAGTCCACTTTGAATCAAACAGACCTTCTCCTTGGCTTCTCTAATTAGGTTTACACCAACTATCTTTCTTTCACTAAGTTTCATCCAACACAAAGGTGTCCTACACTTCCTCCCACAGAAGGCTTCATAGGGAGTCATCTAAATACTTGACTGGTAGTTGTTGTTGTAAGCAAACTCAACTAACGATAGGTGATCTTCCCAACTACCATCGAGGTCTATCATACAGAACTTAAGTATATCTTCCAATATATGGATCACACGCTTGAACTGGCCATCAATCTATAGGTGGAAAGTGGTACTGATGTGCAACCGGGTACCCAAAGCCTTCTAGAACCTCGATGTAAACTGTAAGTATCGGTCAGAGATAATCGATGTCAGTACTGCATGCAATCTCATTATTGCCTGAACGTACAATCTAGCCAATCTTTCAAGGGTGGAATCCATACAAACTGGTAGAAAATGAGAAAATTTTGTTAATTGATTGACCACTACCCAGATTGTGTCGTGCTTCCTACGCCTCATTGGTAACCTAGTTAAAAAATTCATTGTCACTCTATTCCATTTCCATTACAAAATCTACATAGGCTGAATCAATTCTAACGAAACTTGATGTTCTGCTTTGACTTGCTGACAGGCCAAGCACCTAGACACGATCTCAGTTATATCATTTTTTATTCCTTCCCACCAATACATTTGTCGTAGGTCTTGATACATCTTGTTTCCTTCTAGATAGAACGAAAATAAACTACAGTGTGCCTCTCCAAGGAACTTGGCTTGCAACTTATTGATCGATGGAACACAGAACCGTCCCCAATGTTGATGTTCCTTAGCCAACAAACAGGTGTTGGTTCTATAAAGTTCCTTCACTTCTTTAACCAACTTAGGTTCAACTTGTAACTCTGCTAGTAGCCCACCATTATTGGTTAAACTCAGGCATGTAAGCAAGGCCATAAGATCGAACATTGTCTTTCGCCTCAAAGCATCAGTCATTACCTAGGTGGTATTCGATCACACAATCGTAATCCTTAAACAGCTCCACCCAACGTTGTTGCCTTAAGTTCAACTTCTTTTGTGTGAATAAATACTTCAAACTCTTGTGGCCGGTGACCATGTAGCATTTCTTTCTGGAGAGGTAGTGTCTCCAAATCTTCAAAGAAAAAACTACTCCTACTAGCTCCAAGTCATGAGTAGGGTAGTTGCTTTCATGCAGTTTTAACTGTAGTGATACATACGCCACCACTCGACCTTATTGCATTAGGATGCAACCTAAACCATTTAGCGAAGCATAGCTAAACATGATATAGTCCTTACTCGACTCTAGTTGAGTCAGCATTGGCGTATGAGTCAAAATTTCCTTTAGTTGTTCAAAACTTTGTTGGCGCTTGTCATCGCAAAAAAACAACATTCTTTTTTACAGTAATTTTGTCATTGGAGCAAAAAATATGAGAAAACCCTTTAACAAAATGACGGTAGTAACTAGTAAGTCCTAGAAAACTACACACCTCAGATACATTCTTCGATAGTTTCAACTCAACCACAGCTCGAATCTTTTAGGGGTCAACTCATATACCCTCGATAGGCACCACATGACCCAAGAATGATACTTCTGATAGCCAAAACTCGCACTTATTGAACTTGGTGTACAACTGGTGCTCCCTTAAGGTCTGAAGTACAATACGGAGGTGAGAGTCATGCTCCTCCTCTAAATGCGAGAATACCAAGATGTCATTGATGAACACAACTACGAATTGGTCCAGGTACTGATGAAATATCTTATTCATCAGGTCCATGAATATGGTTGGTGCATTGGTGAGACCAAAGGCATCACCAAGAACTCGTAATGTCCATACTGGGTCCTAAACGCGGTCTTTGCTATATCGTTCTCTTTAACCTTTAGCTGGTAGTAACCCGACCTTAAATCGATCTTAGAGAACACTTTAGCTCCCTTAAGTTGGTCAAATAGATTATCGATCCTCAGAAACAGATATCAATTCTTTACGGTTAGCTTGCTCAATTGCTAATAATCAATGCACAACCTCATTAACCCATCTTTCTTTCTCACTAATAACAAGTGTGCTCTCTACATTGAAATTCTTGGTTGAATTAATCATGGTTTGAGAAGTTATTGGATTTGTGCCTTAAGATCCTTTAACTACATCGGTGTCATGCGGTAGGGAGCAATGGACACCAGAACTGAACCTGACAAGACCTAGATGCCAAACTCTAGTTCTCTATCGAGTGGTAAAACCGATAACTCCTCCAAAAAAATCGAGAAAGTCTCTTATGGTATGGTTCTCCTCTAAAACTGGCCTTGGAACATGAGTATCAACCACGTGAGCTAGAAATAACTCAGAACTCGTGCTTATCAACTTATATGGCTCTAAGGCCAAAACAATCCTTAAAGTACAACTGATTTCCTCACTCGCCATCATGATCTTGGTGTCATCTAACTTACGAAGTTTAAGTTGTCATCACGATAAAGTTTATCGAACTCTAAGAAGGGTAGCTCCATAAAATTTGTAGGGAAGATTTATCTTTGAACCTCTACCGGGCATCTATGGTGGACCTTGTCCACTAACACATCTAATCCTAGAGAACTCAAAACCCGGACCTTGACTTCTATGTCCTTAGTTGGGATACCACTCTATCGGATAAGATCTCAATAAATATAGGAATGGGTTGATCCGGGGACATCAGCTGCCTCACAGTTCTCCTGAGCTCTGACTACGTACTAGAGAGTGACAACCCTAAGCAAGTTTCGAATGACTCAACTATATAAGTGAAACCTCTTTAAGCTAACTGGCTTTGCTCTGAGTAGTCGGCTAAGCTATACTCCCCATCTCAGGATAGTCTCTAACAAGGTACTTGTATCATCCACATCCATAACAAGCCCGGGAAACTCTATGGAACTCCTTTAAGTGTAATTTTGTAATGCATTGCCAATATTATTTTTAGTTATATGTCTGTGTTTAACATAAACTGAAAGATAATAAAGTCCATATAATAACATTATTAAAAGATCCATAGTCAAGTATTATTATGGGCATGGACAATAATAATACGCTTAAGACTAACGTGTTATTGATTGATGACAATAAGTTGTCATTGACACAGAGATGCCAGAATTGATACATGATTATATTGTTAGAGAAAAATATATTGGATTGACCCATCATGAGCATATGTTTTGGATTATTATGTAACAGTCATAACATTGCTCATGGTGATGACTATATGTATGATCCTTAGATTTGAGATCAATGTCATCCTAACATATATTGTTGTATGTTTTGATACAGTTAAACATGCTCCGTAACTGGTTGCACTATAAAGACTGTTATTGAATATATCTTGATATATGTAGTGGGGTGTATATGGTTAAGATAGGATTTGTCCTTCCTACATAATAGGAAATATATCACATGCCACTTGATTGAGTGAGACTAGAGATGCATGGCTATGCTCGAATAAGTTGATATGTGATATCACAAATTATTCGTTAATTATAGTCTACTTTAGATATCAAAAAACAATAGATGGGCTATACAAGTATGACTATTGTGCCTATTCTAAGACTTGTGCCTATTCTAGATATAAATGACAAAAGGATGTAATACATAAAAGAGTTAATCACGAAGATGATATGTCGAATCATAATTTCTTGTAACTTAGGTGACAATGATATATTGCTAGATGTCACTCATTGTATGTAATATTAGAATTGTTCTAATAATTACTACTAACGTTATAAGAACCTACAGGGTAACACCCTAGGATTGAAATGAACAAAGATGTACTCGGGAAATGTTCGGGTAACTTAGCACCGACACAACATCCAAATAGCATTTTAAGTGCCCAAGCAATAGATTGGATATATCCGGATAATTCTCAATCTACCACACAATCGTTATACAAGTGACTCGAGTGTCGTCACTGTTTCTCAAGCATCATACAAAGGCATAAATCTTACAGAATCCTACCTCATTAAGATTTTATGTTATCACACAATAAATTAGTTTCGCGTTGCGATTTTCATTTTCGCATTGCGATTAACTCGTTGCGATTTTCATTTCGCATTGCGATTTTCATTTCGCATTACGATTTTCATTTCGCATTGCGATTTTCATTTCGCATTGCGATTTTCATTTCCGCATTGCGATAGTCTGTTTTGCATTCAACATAATGCAGATTGAAATCAACAAATCAACTATTACATTTCAATCAATTAAACAAGCACAAATATTATGTACACATCAATTAAACAAATCAACATTTACAAATCATCTTTTACAAATCAATTAAACAATCAAAAAATAATAATGAAATCAACTTTTGCACCCATACATCCATTTCACGCAGCTCACTTCAGGATTAACCTGCAGAAACCAAACATTGAATCAACAACACTTTCTACACATATAAAACCTACAAACAGCAAATTATTGAATTCTAGCTAATTAACCAAACATTTTCAAACCAAAAAGAGTAAATATGTTTAACAACACTTGCATTTGACTTACAAATTGTTTATGGACACTTTCATAACGCGGATGCAGGTAGGAAGCGTCTCGCATATATCGCTCTAGCCATAAAATGCTGAAACCACAAGCCTACTGCACCTCTATCGGTGGGAGGTAGAAAATGTGTACTTCTTATCGTCAAACTCTCCAAGAACATGCATACGAGAGGACCACAATCCCCTCTGGCTTCCTTCGTTTGTTGTGGTGCGGTCTCGTCTCTGCTAACTGTAATATTGAGCTTCTTTGGCGTCTTGTTTCCAGAACGAGTCCAATAATTTATCGCGTCCAAGAATTTAGCCAAATGAGAGCTTCATCCCTTAATAATATCTCTTAAATCAGCCAATGATATGTAATTTATCATGTTGTCATATACTATTACCTTAAGGGATGGGAGCTGAAGCTCAACGAGAAGCCAATGTTTACTTTCCAAAACAGGGATAAACACCTACAATCATAAGTAATAATTCATTCATTTGCACACTTATTTATGAATACCTTTAAACTCAATCTAAAATAAATACTAACCTTATCGACCTCCCACCATGCAGGATAAAGTTTAGCTTGTCCATTGCCCAACGCAAATGATTCATCTCGTTGATTCTTCAAGTGAACGGCGTTAAAAGACGTCGGCATAATTGTATATCGTATATTTCTTTTATTTTTCTTAAGTTTCCTAATTATTAGAAGACGTGACACCCACGCATCGATATGATGTTTTACAAAAAAAGACATATATTAGTGACTTACATAAATTTAAAAAAAAATAATCAAATTGAAATATAAGAAAAATATAAGACTTACCCCTCCATCGAAATAGCCATTGTCTTCGACCCCTAATAATACGCCCCACCAAGACCAATCAAGCAACAAATAGATGTCATTGTTGAGCTTGCATATGTCAGTGAAACACCCCTGGCTCCGCTCATGTAGATAAAAATCAACTGCGGTCTTAGCCCAAAGGGTGTTATCCAGAATTGTGTTTGGTAGTTGTCTCCTCTCCACTTTAGATACCGGAATGTTATTGGTCGGTAACTCATACGAGAGCTAACTCTCATCCATCATGTCCGGCACGTCAGAGGGTTTCTCAAGAATCTTACATATGACGCCATGTGAATCGGGCTCTTGAATGGTGGGAGGGACCTCTTCAACAATGACAGTGGCCTCTTGAACGGTGGGAGGGGACTCTCGAGGAATGATAGGGGCCTCTTCAACGATAGGAGTGGACTCTTGAGGGATGACAGGTGAGTCGGGCTTCTTCTTGCGGTGTCTTCGCACTATTGGGGTGTACGGAGACTTAATAGCACATGCACGCCGTCTTATGCGTGAACTCCGTCGTCCAAGAAAAACCCGACGTAAAGCATCCACCTTATCAGGCCGCTAAATAATTAAATACAATAATCAGTAAATAAACAGACATGATATTTAAACAGTGAAAAAAAAGACAAATACTAACTTCACAGTGTTAAAGAA